CTTTCCCTCCTGGCTGATTTTCTGGACACTGACATGAGCAGCAGAGTTGGGAGAGGTTCATTCTTTGTAGACAGAGAGGCCTAAAGAAAAAGTTTGATTTGGGCTCTCTCTCCATGCCTTCCAGCCTGGGGCTGCTGTTCAAAGTGCTTCCTGAAAGTCAATCTAAAGCCAAAGATCTAGGAGAATACAATAAATTGTACTTTAACCCCATGTCAGCACAGAAGGGGTTGGAAAAAAAGAAATGCGGAGGGTCCTCTGATAGATGTTGGGAGAGCATCGTGGTGAGACTAAAGGGTAGTCATTTCTTGTGACCAGGGCTCCATTTCTTTGGACAGAGATGACTCTGGATACTGAACCGGACAGCTGTGCTCCCCTTCCACAGCCCCTGCCCCACATTCACCTCCCATGGTGATGGTCAATTGGCAACCCCGGGTGAATAAACTTTCCATGAGCTTCATAAACTTCAAATGTGCTCATAACCCACCCTACTCCACTACACCAATTCCCACCATCATTACGATCAAAGCAAAGTCCGGTAAACCAATAGTTCACTCCCTCACCCCGCACATTCTCTAATGACCCCATTCCTCCATCGGTTCATTCACCCATCTGTCTACCCATTCACAAGTATCCACTGATATCTATTTGCATCAGGCTCTATACTTGATCAAAGTTAGTAAGACACACGATTACAGGCTTAAAATGGTGCTTCCTCCCAGCTAGGTGGAATAATGCTTGGCACAATAACAATTGGCTGAATAAATGAATGAGCTCACAGTTTATTAGGAGGGATGAGACACAGACCAAAAATAACTCAAGCAGAAGACAGAATGTAGTTAGTATCCCAAGAGAGATCCAGGGTGCTGTGTGAGTTCAAAGGAGGGAGAGAGCCCTTCTGGCTAAAGAAGTTAGGAAAGGCTTCATGAAAGAACAGATAATATATGAGCTGGCCTTTAAAGCACATGTTGGATTACAACAGCAGATATGGTGGGGGGAAGGAATTCCAGAGGGGTTGGCATGGAAAAAGTTTTGGGGTAGCAAAAATTAGTTTCATATAGTGGTTAGAGCTTTGAAGAAAGAAAACAGGGTTGTGTGCAGAAACTTGGCAAAGCTGGGATGGGGGCTCCTTTGGATAGAGTGGTCCAGGAAGGCATCTCTGAGGAGGCATATGGCATCACTAATGGCCAAACCCCTGTCCTGGGTGTCAAATAGGGCCTCAGTGAGTGTCTGTTGAAGAATGGAAGAATGACCATGACTGAGTAACCAGGGGAGTTCAATTCACCTCCAGACTTCAAGGTTCCATGAAGATGAAAGGTGGTATGAGAAAGAGGTGAGATGAAGGAGGGAGGGATGGAGAGTGGATGGGAATGGGGCAGAGGACTGAAGCGTGGCATCAGTCAGGGCGAGGCTTAAGATGACAGAACCCCAGCATAAGGAAAAAGAAGGTGGGTGCGAGGTGGGGGAAAGATGGAGAGCCAACACACCTAAGAGAGGCAGCAGATAAAGAGGGGACCACATAGGAGGAGAGAGGACAGAGGGCTTCTGTCTTCTTTACACCCTTTAAACCCTTACTCACCACCCTGGAACTCACAGCGGGTGATGTCTGGGTCCCTAGCCTGGTGAACTAGAAATCAGAAAACCACTTCTTAGCTATGTGACCTTGGAGAACCCATTTAACTTCTTTGAGACTTAGAAGCCTGTTTGTAAAATAGAGAATCATAATACTCATTTTATTCTGATCACCCAGGCCTAAGGTGGAACCCCTTCCACTGCCTCAATTTCATTATCTATGTCATTTACCAGGTCATGCTCCCCATAGCACTGGCACTCTTTTTTTTTTTTTTTTTAACATCTTTATTGCAGTATAATTGCTTTACACTGTTGTGTTAGTTTCTGCTGTATAACAAAGTGAATCAGCTATACATATACATATGTCCCCATATCTCTTCCCTC